AAAAAACCAAAATAGTTGATAGTATATTTTTTAAAGGGGATCATTATTTACATTTTTTTTTCTGTTTTTTATAAACACAGTTTTTTTTATCAATCTGGTCATCTGGTCATATTTTTTCTTCCCAGGTCCGATACTCGTGCCTGTGATTATATGCTGATGACTCAGGAATCCTTGTGTCTCGTAAAATAAATCTGAAGAAATTCTTTCTTATAGCATGAGTCTTATAAGATTGCTTAATTGACTATAAATTGTCTTTGCATCTTGGCAAGACAGAGTCTGTTCTTTATTGGTTTAGGTTTCAACTTAAACTGGCCCTAGCCTCCAGGTCACATGTAATGGTACTGCTATAAAGTACACATCTTTTGTTAAGTATTTAGGTGCAAATCTGGATCAAATTCTTTTGGCGTCGCCCTTTGATGCTTTGCATCAATGCTTTTCTTGTTATTTAACTGGAACTGTTTTATTTTCAAAACGTCAATCTGGTAATAGGTTTATTTTTAAACAGACACTGGCAATAATCAGGATTATCTTATAAATGACAAAGTGATAATAATATGGTTATTTTTAAAGGAACTCCACTGAGGTCCAAAGGACTAAAAACATAAAATTTGAATTTCTTATGGCACTTAAAAAAGTAAAGTATGCCAAAAATTATTACACAATATACCCGTACATAAACTGAAAATCATATTTCTTTGCTATTCCTAGCTAGATTGGAGTGAAAAGCATTGTAACGATTTTCAATTTTTGGTTATTTTTCACAATTAAAATAATTATTCAGGAAAAAAGCAAAGAGCTAATGATCTGAAATTTTGCAAACAAGTTATTGGTCTAACCCAAAATCAGATGGAACATTATTCTCAAAAATTTATTTCTAGTTCCAGCATATCAAAAACCTCAGTGGAGTGCCTTTAAATCATCTCAACTTACAGGATAAACAACTGTAGTACCGTCTGGCTGTATGACTTCAGCTTGCTCTATCCTAAAAAATAAATTCATAACATACATCATAACAAATGGATCTCTGTGGCCATGACGGGCACGTTCATTGATTTTAAACTGCTTGCACATGAAGGCTACGGGTTTGAATCACAACATAAGACTTCAAAAAGGTTATTGAATGAGTGTAGATTTTATACTTAAGTTATTGAACGAGTTAAATAAAATCATATTACATAAGCTTCTGGTGCATGTCAGAGGCAGGCATGATATGATTTTATTCAATAAATATAGTATTGAATCTACACAAATATGGATGAGCCAGTGCGATAGGTTGGAAGTTCTCCTTTATATCAATATAAGGCCCAAGGGAAGTAGCTCACAGAGCCCCTCACAGCATGGTTGCTCGTTTTTTACCCATGATTTGTTCATACACAAATAATGCACTTGATTCCCCTATCAGTTTGATAGGGGAATAGTGTGAGGCGTGTTAGAATTATATATATCACAAATGACCTCATATCAAAGTGTTATTACACTAGTTTATATCATTTTTATCAATTTAATGGGTTAATTACACTCCTCAAAACTGATCAATTTCACAAAATAACTATCACCTAAAAGTAACTACCATGATAATTTTACACAAGTGAAAGTAGAAATTCCAGAATTCGAGAATTCACAAACATTAAACCTGGCAAATTTGTCCGAAATGTTGATTTTGCAAAAAATTTTGGCTTCAAGAAAAAATGACTTTATAATACTCACACAAAAGGTTCCTCACAATATTGTCCGAACATGGTAACAATGGTGTCCAGCACTATCTTAGCCTTCGTCAGATCTGTTGCCGTGCATTCTATAAACACGTTCTTGGTCTCTAGGGTGATCTTTGTATGCTCGCCTGAAGTAGAATTGTTTGTTTGGATTTTACGACGATTTCAACACCTTTTGGTTTCATCTCCGCAAACTGGTTCAACCTAACCGACTTTCCTGGATAACTAACCAGTAATTACCAATTTCTCCGTTAAATGATACACTAATAACTGACATGATTTCTGAATCACATTTTTCATATCGAGAACTTTGTTTATGTTTTTAAAAAATTACATTTATGCCCCAAACTCAAGAATTAAATACTTTTTAAGGTCTTTTTTATAGGTCAGATAATTTTTTTTTTTAATTTAAGGTCATTTTAAGGCCTCTACTTAATTTCGAAGGACTTTTTAAGGCTTCACAAGCCTCAGACTACAGAGAATCGAATGACTGTATAACAATATAACAAAAACACTTACCATTGATGATAGGAGGCATGGACAAAACAACTCCATTTTTATCATAGATCACTGGGTAGACTGGTTTATCTTGGATGATAGGTAAATACGCCTTAAGATGACTGTCTCCCTAAATATTATTAAAATACAATACAATCTTTAATCATCTACACTACAACCAATAATGATATTATTGTGTCACAGTTAGCAATAATGCTAACATTTTTACGTCTAACAGCCTAATTACCATGTTAAACATTTTAACCAAACATACTAGAAAAATTCTTAGATTTTTTAAATATTTTTAACTTTTCTTGTCTTGTCATAAAAAACAAAGCTAATGTTTAAAATAATAAAAATTAAAAAACTTTCTAAAAATCTGGATAAAGTGTGACCCCTCGGAAGCATTAATCGCAACAAAATTACATAAAAATTGCAGACTCTGTTAATACTAATTTCATTTTTTGGTTAATGAATTTTATGATCGGTTTATGGCTTAAACCGGCCAAATGGGTAACACGACACCCTTACAAATGACTGAAGAATAAAGAGTAAATTGCTTGGCCATAGCTCAGACTTACGGAGTAAAGTTTCATCAGTTCTACAGCCGTCATTTCTTGTGTTTGATTCAATGCCTTGAACTTGATATCTGCTGGTGGTTTAGCATCATATATGAATGGTCCTTGTATGGTGTCAAGGTCGTGCGTTCCTATGGCAACCAATTTTCTCACCCTAAAACAAGCAATAATATTTTTAAAGTCACTGATGGATGCATCTCTCCACTATTTATGCACCAAAACCTCACCAACGGGTAGACGATCATGGAAAAGCTATGTATTTTTAAATATCAGGTACTGTACATAATCACTACAAGTTTTCATTTAGCCTGGTTTACAAGAAACATCATCCATAACCATAACAACTTTCTTTATCAAGTAACCAAGTTTAAGGAATATTAAAATGTGTATATATTTTTATAGGTTTAGTTTGCTTTTAATGACCTATCGGGAGCCGGTGTGTAAAGATACTGGTAGTCATACTTAATTCTACATAGTTAAATGATAACTGAATTGTCCATGAATAAAATGAATTGAATATATAAATTATCCATTAATAAATAAATTGAATTGTTGAATTGAATATATAAATTATCCATTAATAAATAAATTGAATTGAATATATAAATTGTCCATGAAATAAGTTGAATTGAATATATAAATTGTCCACAAATAGATAAATTGTCCATGAATGATTAAATTGAATTGAATATATAAATTGTCCATGAATGATTAAATTGAATTGAATATATGAATTTTCCATGAAATAAATTGAATTAAATATATAAATTGTCCACAAATAGATAAATTGAATTAATTATATAAATTGTCTACGAATGAATAAATTGAATTGAATGTATAAATTGTCCATGAATAAATAAATTGAATTGAATGTATAAATTGTCCATGGACGTTTCATTTGCTATTTTCTTCTGTAAGCAACCTGATATGATATAGCTTTTTTTTAACAATACTTAACATATATTTTCATATTAAGACAAAGTTGTTTACATACCTGCAAATATTTTGATGCAGTTTATCTTGGAGGTCTATGAAGCTTTTGTACCTATCCTGAAAATAAATCAATGATCAAAAATCTTGCTCATCCAAGAGTAAGTAGTGAGTGTGCAAGTAAAATTAAAAACACTTTACATTTTGTTACATTTGTTTTCAATCTTAAAATAAACTTTACCAGAGTAATCAATAACCCCTGTGACCCAGATAATTACTTGTCAGAAATTGTCGGTTATGTTCAATTTATAAGTCTTTTTATATTTTAACGTTAACATATGTAATTATCAATCAATGTATTGTTCAAACACTATTAAAAAAGTCAATCTTTTTAAATAAACACCAAATTCACCTCAAATTGACAGTGAAAAATTGGGCTTAATGTCTCTGTTAAACATAATTTTATTCTTTGAAAACTGCTGTGCAATAATGAACAAACCTTTGCCACTAGTAAAAACTCCTAACCCAAATAAAAAATGAACAGGGCCATTTTTAAAGGGAGATAAAAGGGGATTAACAGAAAACGCCCTTTTTTTAAATTTTTTTAAAAAAATTTTTCTTTATTTTTTATTTGATTTCCCAACTTTTAAACAGACCCCCAGCAACTGGTAAAGGAAAATGTTGGGTGCCCCAAGCAATTTTTTCTGGCTGAAAAGCACCGATTGAAAACGATGTTCTTTTAAATAGTAGATGTCCTTCACATAAGAACCATTTCCCCAAGGGTTCAACCAACAAATGGGCAGCCCCCAAATGGTTTAGGGCAAGTGTCTTAAAAACCCCTACGCCAAATGTATTTATTTAAATTTAATAAAGGACCCTAATTTGATAAGAGGTCAACCCCCGATAAAAAAAAAAGGGTGTTTCCAAACAATTTTTTTCCTTTGATCTATTAAATAACAGAATCATTTTTAGCTCCTTGATGATATAGATGTTGAACAAAATGGAGAACTATGACTTATAAATCACATACCTCGGTAAATTTAATATTTCTCAGTACAGCTGCCACGGCAAATGGACGTACTTGACCAGTCTGAAAATCAAACAACTGGCTCTGTTATGCACTATCTTACTTACATGTAACTACTGTACAAGTAAAACTTTAAATACAAACAAGAACATAAATTCAGATAAACAATATTTCATAGATGTATTGGTGAGCGAATTACACAATGAAAACTTTTTAAAAAGTTTCCAACTGAAAATCTTGTATCACTGCAAATTTCTTTATAAATCTTAAAACCTCCTGTCTTTAACACTTTACAATAATGGTTTTCTTACTCAGTATCACACTGAAACTTTGTTTATGAATCTAACAACCTAACATCAATTACACAAAACTGTTTATAAATCTTACAACCTAACATCAATTACACAAAACTGTTCATACATCTAACAACCTAACATCAATTACACAAAACTGTTTATAAATCTAACAACCTAACATTAATTACAAAAAAATGTTTATAAATCTTACAACCTAACATCAATTACACAAAACTGTTTACAAATCTTATAACCTAACATCAATTACACAAAACTGTTTATAAATCTAACAACCTAACATTAATTACACAAAACTGTTTATAAATCTAACAACCTAACATCAATTATACAAAACTGTTTATAAATCTAACAACCTAACATCAATTACACAAAACTGTTTATAAATCTAACAACCTAACATCAATTACACAAAACTGTTTATAAATCTTACAACCTAACATCAATTACACAAAACTGTTTATAAATCTAACAACCTAACATCAATTACACAAAACTGTTTATAAATCTAACAACCTAACATCAATTACACAAAAATGTTTACAAATCTTATAACCTAACATCAATTACACAAAACTGTTCATAAATCTTACAACCTAACATCAATTACACAAAACTGTTTATAAATCTAACAACCTAACATCAATTACACAAAACTGTTCATAAATCTAACACCCTAACATAAATTAGACAAAAATGTTCATAAATCTAACACTCTAACATAACATCAATTACACAAAACTGTTCATAAATCTAACAACCTAACATCAATTACACAAAAATGTTTATAAATCTTATAACCTAACATCAATTACACAAAACTGTTTATAAATCTTACAACCTAACATCAATTACAAAAAAACTGTTTATAAATCTAACAACCTAACATCAATTACACAAAACTGTTTATAAATCTAACAACCTAACATCAATTACACAAAACTGTTTATAAATCTAACAACCTAACATCAATAACACAAAACTGTTTATAAATCTAACAACCTAACATCAATTACACAATACTGTTTATAAATCTTACAATCTAACATCAATTACACAAAACTGTTTATAAATCTAACAACCTAACATCAATTACACAAAACTGTTTGGTTTATACAGAATTTATTTTAGTTCGATTGTGTAGGAAGCTATAAGCTTATAGACACACTTTCGAATCCGTTCCTGGAACCAACCAGTACTGAGCAATGAATGTAAAGTGTCTTGCTCAAGGAAACAGCGACTTGCCCTTGACGGGGTTTGAACCCATGCGGCTAGCGATCATTAGATTACTAGTCCGACACGTTAACCACTCGGCCATGCCGCCACTGTTCATAAATCTAACACCCTAACATCAATTACACAAAACTGTTCATGAATCTTACAACCTAACATCATGTCACACAGAATTTTTTTATTAATCTCAATACCCAACATCGAGTTACGCAAAATATATTTTCGATCATATGTAAATTCACCAAAATCAGTTACTTATTGCTGTTTTCATTTATATAGAAATTTGACTACCCCTCAAAAATGGCTGCAAATTTAAGCAATGTAGATAAATAGTGTAGAAAAAAAACTGGGGACTTTCAATACCTTATTTTATGACAAGAATCTTCTAAGTATAAACTTAAGGCTGGCAGAATCTTACGCTGCAGATGATGGTGCCACAGCCTTATACCTATGGAAGGGGATATCCGCCAGTTCACGCATTATGCTTTATTACATTAAAACATGTAATTCATTTTTTACTTTGATATTTATTATTACATATTTGTTATTTTTAAAAGGTGATTTTAATTAATTTGGCGTTGTTATATGTGCATTTTCCTTTTCACATTAATTCTATTATTGCAATATGATAATTAGTTTGGCATTATTGAATTGTAGCGTTGAAGAATTTAATAACTTTTTTATTGTGAGAACATTTACTTTATCTTCCGTAAACATGCAACATTCATGGAAATGTATGATAAGCATTTTCATCTAATTGACACATTGTACTTGAAACATAACGTGTTGTTTATTATTTGTATGCGCTAAAATGGGCCCTTTTAATTGATGGGAGATAACTCGTGAAACATCTGTAAACAATAACCGCTCCCCAAGCCGGTGTACAAATAAAATGTGATTTGTCGTGGCAGTTGCATGACAGAAAACGTACGAAAAAACTTTTACAACGATATTTCCAGTTTTGAGAAGCTGTTTGAGAAGCTACGATATGTAAGGTATGTTAAAACTGTGTTTCTGTCATTTTTTTTGCGACTGTCTGAAATTCGCACTGTCGAACATGGAATTATAATTTCGACATGAAATAGCTTGCGAAATATTACCGGATAGTAGGTATTACCGGACAAACACCCATTTCACAACTTATTTTTTATCTTTTATATTTAATTTAACAGCCTCCAATTTTATTATGCACGGACAATTGATTCTACCAGTACACCATGGTAATGGAAATCTCAAAATTAGTTCTTGCTTCCATAACTTTATATGTCGCTTTTGGCCGGCGGCACAAAATACACAAATATACCCAAATATAGCAATATTTAATTTGTTTGTATAAAATATAGATTATAATGAGAAATAAATAATTATTTATTAAATATAATATGACTTAGCCTGCTATAATTTTCATTCATTCGTTGAAAATGGACAGTTACGATGGTAATGTAAAGAATAAAGGTGTGACTTATGCTTATCTACAGTACCATATAGGTTCTTTATGAATGTATTTGCAATTTTAAATCAAGATATGATATTTGTTGTCTACACTTACATTTTTAAGGTGTAATTTTGTTGGAATTTCATATCATATACAAGTGTCCATGTTATTTTTTTTGGTTCAAAACACAATGAAAGGGAAATGTATATTTGGGTACATGTACATGGTTGATTATATCTTATTGAAAGTGTATATTGTATTCATGATAAAAACCGCACTTTTTTAGGATAAAACATTTGTTTTTAGTATAATTGGGCAATATTTGGGTATATTTGGGCAATATTTGGGTATATTTGGGCAATATTTGGGTATTTCGTGTTGCCCCTTTTGGCAATCTCCTGGATTAGACCCCTATGGTCTTAAACTTGTTTATAATATACTAAAGAAAACAGAATGAACCTTATATATACTCCTGGTTTAGACCCCGGGGTCTAGTCCAGGATATAGCCTCGCTTTTCTTATTTTCTTGGTTAGGCGACATTAACAGGTCTGGTAATATATATTTATATATATAAACTACTATAAAAACTGCTCGCTGAAGTATCTTTAGCTATCTCAAAATATTTTCTTGATGTGTAACTTGTTAAAATTATTTTAAATCATTAACTGAAAACAAGGCAGTACTTGTATAACTGTAAATACCATTTTTGATACACTTGATAACAAATTTATGTCCTACTGTGTCATAGACGACAACCTTATCAGTTATATCAAAAAGAAATTTATCCGATAAGAGTTTTTTGCTGGCTATGATGATTTCCGAGCACATTTTGTAGTTCTGTACTGAATATTTCTAAAAATGACACTACCTTGGTAAGCATCCAGTTAGTCAACATTTGAGCCGCGTCACGACAAACCAACATAATGGGTTTGCCACCAGTATGGATCCAGACCAGCCTGCACATCCGCTTACAAACCATATAACAAGTAGTGAAACTGATAGCGAGCAGCTTGGATCCTGATCAGACTGCGCGGATGCTGGTCGCAAACCCATTATGTTGGTTTTGTCGTGACGCGGCTCAAATGCACCTTGTAATTTAATACATGGCGTATTCTGTTCTGCATTTGTTTTTTGTTTTTTTTTATGAATGAAAGGCATTTCCAAATTTTTGGGATTTATATGCAAGGGAAATAAATCAATTTGACATTTATCTCCCTAATCTTATTTTATATTTCGTGTTTGTTTAGGTTTACAGTCAATCGTAACCTCATCAGTATGTAAGTGGACACAAAGATCCATATCATTTAGATCAAAATAAATTACAAATTGAAAGGCGTCAATTGGGGATACTTTCACTTTTATAAGGGAACGGTCGAAAGGTGGCACAATGTGTACAAAGTAGCATGTTTAAGGATTACCGTAGTATCCTAGAAGACCCAGTACAGCAGGGACGACTTTATGTACAAGTATTCACTACTGTTAAATGAAATAAATACTGTTAAGGGGAGATGATTGTTTGAGATTGTCATCAAATGTGCTACGGAAATATGGTGATATATTATGTTATTGTAATTGTTATCTAAATTACATAGTTCATTTATTTCAGATGTGTTTAATGAAGCAGTGAATTGTTGACTTATAATATAGAAGCCTTGAACATTATTCAATACTTCCAGGGAGGTTATCGCCATGAAGTAAGCATGAACTGGTTAATAAATATTTTTAGGAATAAAATAATGATTGATATAAACTTGTGTGGGTTACTCAGTATTGATGTAAAGGTGCATAATTATTGATAATGACTGATATTAAAAAAATCTACGCACTTCTGCCTGTTTACAGTGTACTATTTTGTAAAGACTATTAATAGTCAGAATGCATTTCCAAAACATGCTACATTGAAATACTTGTGCTATAACATATATACCCGACATTGGAAATATGTCAGGGATTAAATTAATGTACAATTGATTTTAATAAATCAGAAGGGCTCTTATCCTCTCTATAACTCATTCAGATTAGATAATCTTAATTTTTTTTTTTTGGTTTGTGTGTAGTTACTTATTCTTACCAGGCAGTGAATAAAACTCCTACAATTTTATATTTTCAGTGTTGAGCAACAACTAGTGTCTCAAATCAAAGATCTCTGCAGACAGAAAATACTTCATGTTGTTCAGAATTTAGAAAATGACCGTATATTTAACATCAAAAATGAGCTACAAGAGGTTTTGAGATATTTGTTACAGTTATCCAGTTTCTCTAATATTAGTAGTTGTATAAAATATGTACAAGATGCTCTCGACATTTTAGACCAGTTACCAACTGAGAATGATGTTTCAGAAGTAAAGGCCTGTAAAAAGCAAGGAAGAAAATATGACATTCCTTCTGAAACTCTACAAAATCTTATAGAAATTGGTTTGAAAATTAGGGATATTTCAGAATTGTTTAATGTTGGCAAGAGAACAGTTGAGAGAAGAATGGAGGAGTATAACCTGTCAGTCAGAGATACCTATAGTAATTTGTCTGACAATGACTTAAGACTAGAAGTTCAAGACCTCTGTTCCAGCTTTCCATGTGTAGGGTACAGAACAATTCAGAGCCTTTTACTTTCAAAGGGAATTAAGGTACAGGAATCTAGAGTGAGGCAGACTGTAAGAGAGTGTGATCCTTGTGGTGTTTTATTTCGTAAAGTCTTCCTTACATCCTGTAGAATACAAAGAAGAACATATTCTGTCAGTGGTCCTCAAGCCCTTTGGCACATTGATGGAAATCACAAGTTAATAAGGTTTGTTCCCTGTACAATACCATTAAGACAATAAAATGATGAAGAGTTTTGACTGGACTTTTACAGTTTTTGAAATATTTTTGGTATTAAAAATAAAATGACTACTTTGAAGTAACTCTATACACCTTTGAAATACCATCTTTTTGCACAGAAAATGCTAACTTTATTAACAATACGATGTATGAAAATTGTTTTGAGAAGTGATTGAATTTTACATATTACACTTTTAGATTACTGTAATGACATGTATTTAGTATTATGGTTCTTCCTAGTTTTTATGATATACATCATTTTTACAGATGGCGTCTTGTTATACATGGGGGAATAGATGGCTACTCCAGGCTCCCAGTTTTTCTCAATGTTGGGAATAATAACAGAGCAGAAACTGTTCTGCGTGCATTTTTAGGGGCTGTTCAGCTGTTTGGTTTGCCTAAAAGGGTTCGATCCGACAAGGGGGGAGAAAATGTGTTGGTTGCACAGTACATGGTTGAACATCAATCTTCAATTAATAGACCTTTTATTGCCGGAAGGTCTGTTCACAATCAAAGGTTTGTGATATCTGTATTATACAACTCGAACTTAATATACCAATGCTTAAAAAGTACTCATTATGACTCAAATGTTTTAAAGATTTGCAAATAACCTAGAAAATGGCCTTGAAAACATAAATTGAAGTTTATTTAAAAGGCTTTAATTTTTAGAGCTCATACTTCAAGGATTGAAGGTAAGGTGTTTTGCACATGACTGTAATATATCTTGAAAACTCATGGATTGTAAAATGTGTGTTTAAAGCAAGTCTATCATGCAAGAACTTTCTGTGTATATTTTCTTGACTATTCAAAGTAACTAGAAGGAATTCATTTTTTACCGACTGGAATAAGCCGCTTCAAAATATTAAGAGGTATGACCATGAATTTCATTATAAAAATATTGCAGTAATATGCACCATGAATAGGCATTTCCACATGTACTTTGTAAATACATGTACTTTGTAAATTCATGATATGTAACCTATATTTTGGTTCCATCTTCCTGAGGACATAAACCACCATTGTTTTATAAATATTGATGTTTCATTAAATATTTGGCAAACTCCCGTCCTACAGGAACTGCCTCACTTGCATTTCAAGCTGTAATATTGTAATACATAGCTTGACAATATAGTTTTGTCCCCCCCCCCTCCCTGAAATTCTTGGGGCAACATATTACCCAAGGTCAAGGTCACACTCATGGGTCAAGGGTTAAAATTGTTTTCGATCTGTATGATCCAAAGGCTTAAGGGATTTTCATAAAACTATCCGGAAGGGCATGTGTTATGTTCTGTAGTTAAAATCATTTGATATGTGGTCCTATAAACATTTCAGGATAGAACGGTTATGGAGAGAAGTGTGGGCTGGCGTTACAAGCTTCTACTATAACATTTTCCATCAGCTTGAAGATGAAAGAATGCTGGATCCAACCAATGAGGTGCACATCATGATACTTCACCTTGTCTTTCTTCAGCGGATACAAACCCATTTAGATAGATTTGCAGAGGCATTACGGCGGCGTCCACTCAGAACGGAAAATAACCGCACTCCGCTACAGTTATGGATGACTTCCAGACATCCACCGAATGATGGACAGGTAAGTTTACATTATGTGATGATCAACATTAACAGAGCTATAAGATTATGTCTCTCTAAAATATTGGGAAGTCACAATATTTTTGCCTCCATTACTGTCTGTTCAAAATATCTTGGTTTAAGTGTTTGTTGGGCTCTATATTGGGTCATGTTTTCTCACCTTAACTTGTTTTTACACAACCTTTTGGCCACTTTGTTTACATTCTTTAACACTTGTTCTAAGTTGTGGTTTCAATTCCCGCAAATGGACATATTTTGTTATTGTTTTGTTGTTTGTTATTGGGATATAATTTAGTCTGAAGGATTGTGTATAGTCAAAAAGTAAAGTTTAAATGAAACTTAAGAAGAATATTTTTTTCAATTAAATAAATTTCACCTTTAATTAAATCTGTTCAATCAAAACAAGAACTGTCGAAGGACAGTATTGCCTCGACTATTCAAAAATTGTCACAGGGTTTTTTATTGAGTATAATAATGCTCATTACCTATGAATACATAAAATTGACCGAAAAGGTACAAAGGCTTGTTATTAAGATGTTTTATCATGTAAATCACTGCTTTATTATTATGAATGCATAAAATGTCCCAAAAAAGGCACAAACAACTCTTCAGTAGTTATGGAGATAACAGCTTACAAGCAAAAATTTATCATGAGTTTCTAAGTTAAAAAAGGGGAGAAAAATCAGCCTAAATGCAAGATAGAATCATGGATCTTGGTCAGTGACCTACAATTATGATTCTAAATGCATATGTGAAGTTTCAAATAAATATCTTTAAGTTATTGAGATATGTAAAACTTGCATGTTAACATTAACCAAGAGACAAAGTAGTAAAGGGGAGATGAATCAGCCTAAATGCAAGTAGAGTTATGGAACTTGGTCAGTGACATACAATTATGACTATCCAATTATGACTAAGTACATGTGTAAAGTAAATATCTTTGAAGCCCTTTAACCATAATTTCTAAGTTTCAAAGGGGCAAATAATTCTGCAAATATTACAGGCAGAGTTATGCAATTTTGCAAACTGATTGTTACTATTAAAAGTATTGTAAATTTCAATTGAATATCTCAAGCAATAATTGAGATATTTGACTTTACAAAAAAACCTTAACCAAAATTTCTAAGTTATAAAGAGGCATAATTCTGTAAAAATTATAGGCAGAGTTATCCTACTTGTCAATCTGATGTACATTGTTACTATAAATAAGTATTGTAAGTTTCAATTGAATATCTCAAGCAATAATTGAGATATTTGACTTTACAAAAAACTTTAACCAAAATTTTTAAGTTAAAAAGGGGCATTATTCTGTCAATATTGTAGGCAGAGTTATCCAACTTGTCAATCTGATGTACATTGTTACTCTGAATAAGTATTGTAAGTTTCAATTGAATATCTCAAGCAATAGAGATAAAAACTGTAACCAACGCAGACGCCGGGGCGACTACAATAGCTCTCATATTCTTTAAATAGATAAGCTAATAAAACGAGTTTAACATATTGCACCCTGTGCAGTTTGCAGTATTTTTTATATGAAATATACTTTTTGCACAGTAGTATACAACAGTTCCATAATTGAAGTTTTTTACTATGCCAAAGTAATCGATTTGTTATCGAAATGAAATTGAGGATTAAACCACTTTTTCCGCATGTTATTATTTAGTTAAAGAATGAATTTTGACCTAGTGACTGACATTCTTTCCCATTTTTGAACGTAGAGCTTTCAAATTTGGACAACGGAGAAATTTTAAGAAGCAGAATTGAATGTTGACATAATGTGACCTACTTTCTTTGGCTAGTGACCTTTCTTATTTTTGAAGCTAGAGCCTTGAAATTTGGACCATGGGGAAAGTTTTAAATGCAGTTTTTAGTTTCGACCTAATGACCTACTTTTGTCTGTTTGAAGATGCAACCATTTGTAACACGGGGAAAGTTTAACTCACAGAATTGAATTTTGACCTACTTTTTTACCCTATGACCTACTCCTATTACTCAAATATTAAAAAAAGGTCAGCATGGCTCCCTTTGGCGATGGCTCTGGTATGAACTTTTATTGTAAACTGTCATGGGGAAAAGAGTTTACAAAGTGGATGTAATTATTAAATACATAAAGGGGTTAAAAGTCATATAATTGTATGACCTTGACCTTGAGGGGAAAGAAACTACTCCTGCACATCCTCTGTGTTTAGTTTTTGGTTGAAGATTCCTGGGGTGGCGCAATCTTTGACCCACAGGCTTAAATTTGAACACTCACTAGAAGCTGTTTCATGCCAAATATTTTAGCTCTACCTCTTTGGGTTTTTTAAAAGGAGATAAATTGAGTTTTTTCTTTCGAATTAAATTTTAAAGGTGACAACCAAAGTTTGGATGAAATTGGCTTAGTGGTTTATGAGGAGATGTTGTTTAAAGTAAAAATTTATGTACGTCTGGCAAAAAGTGATCACAAAAGCTCACCCTGTCACTTTGTGACAGGTGAGCTAAAAAAAACAGGAATGATGTTACCATGTCTACTTATCATATATTGTATGATTCTGCAGCAATAAAATAAAAACAAATATAATAATTGTTAAAATCCTTTGTCTATTTGCCTGTTTTCTAGATATATTTAAACCATACCAAAACCATATGTTCCAAACACAACAGATATAAACAGTTGTTCAAAATGTCTGTAAGTTATAATATCCTTGATGTTTGAAAAGTTGATCGATGGAGAACAAGTATTGACTGTTGATAAAGATTTGCTGCTGTGGTCAAATGTAATAGAGCCTTTCATGTTTGGTGCCACATGCTTGCAGCCTATAAGACTTTGCAGTACATCACTTAGTTTGACTGTTAAAGAATGTTCCACTTCTTCATCCAGATCAAAATAGTTTGTCACAACACGACCCCCTGTAATAAAAGCATATACTTGTAAAATTCAAGTTGATTAAAATTGACATACAGAAGGGGGTACAGTTTCACAACACTGATTGCTTTCTACTACATGCATAAAAGACTTTGTATTAAATGTAATTATTTCATCCTTTAGTGTGAGAAGCTGGGATAAGTAATGTGAACATAGATATTACGAGTGCATTGTATTTACTATAAAATAGAACAATTGATTTTAACTGACCGAAACATTCTTGAAATCATTTGTTACTCTGCATATTAATACAATCAGTGTAAAAATGAAGCACAAACTCTTCATAATCATTTTTTAAAATTTTAAATGAGTTTGGAAATGAATTTGATATATTTGATAAAATGGCTTATAGTGTTCACTATCAGGTCGGTTTTACTTTTTCTATCCCTAATATGACAAATGAAATGCATTTCCCACTGCTCATGGTGTATACAGGTTATCTGGCTAGTTTCCAAAAACATGTTTATTTCAAACCAGATTGGTTAATAACCATACCACCTCTTGAGAAACCAAACTATTATTTCGCTTGAAGCTGACATCATAAAAAATGCTGTATGACTATTAAACTATTATTGGATTCCCAATACCGCTCAGAGCAGACTGAAAGAAGTTGGGCTTGAGAAAAGACAACTAGGAAGACAGGAAAGCTCCCTAATGTTAAAAATCATCTGAAACAAGAGCATATAAAAACAAATAGAAGTGGAATATGTCAATACATACATCATCTGCATTTCTTTTTTAACTGACTGTACATGGTTAACTCAGGAAAAGAATGAATTAACTACAATCTCAACTTACTCTCAACATTTTTCAGGAACTGATGAAAGTTGTACACCACTATTTCTTCGTCAGATTTCTGTATGTCATCTGTTGAAAAAGATGGAACAAACAGGTCCATGATCTCAGACGATGACAATTCTGTTTTTAAGAAACATTCTTTAGCATCTGGGAATCTTCTTAAAATGTCAAGAACCCCATTGTTCTTCAGTCCTGCATTAAATAAAGAAATTATTTCAGTGATTAATGCAATTTATAAAATGCCAATCTGTTTTATGTTATGTGACCTAGTACACATTTTACATTTTGTTCACACTAATATATTCTGAAATTAAACATACTTAGCTTCTTAAAGTATATTGATAAAATGATAGTTTGTTTCTTGAAATGTTACTAAATTGCATATGCTTTACCTTTTTAGCTCGACTTTTCTATGAAAAGGGGAGCTATCCTACTCGCCCCGGCGTCGGCGTCGGTGTCGGCGTCGGCGTTAGCGTTGGCGTCACACCTTGGTTAAGTTTTTCGTACCACCCCACTTTATTTCAGAAGTATTACAAGTATGGCTTTGAAACTTACCATACTTGTTCACCATCATAACCTCCATCTACAGACAAGAGTACATAACTCTGTCAAGGTTTTTGACAGAATTATGGCCCTTTTTTGACTTAGAAAGTGTATTGAGCTTGGTTAAGTTTTTTGTACCACCTCACTTTATTTCAAAACCATTGGAGGTATTGCTTTGAAACTGACCATACTTGTTTACCATCACGACCTTCATCAACAGACAAGAGGACATAACTCTGTCAAGGTTTTTGACAGAATTATGCCCCTTTTTGACTTAGAAAATACATTGAATATGGGTAAAATCCACTTATTGCCTTAACCCTTTGAGATATTGCTTTGAAACTTTTAATGCTATTTCACATCATTACCCCCATCTGTACGCAAGAGAAGGTAACTCTGTCAAGGATTTGTTTTAAAAATTAAGGCCTTTTATCGACTTAGAATCTTGGTTAAGTTTTTAGTACCAGTCCACTTTTTGACTGAACTGTTTGAGATATTAATTTGAAAGTTGGAATACTTGTTTACAATCATGATTCCCAAACATGTCCAGGAGAAGGTAATTCTGTCAAAGATTTTATTTGAATTATGGCCCTTAACTGTCAATGTTTTGTATTATAGGCAAGCACTAAAAAACTTAAAAAATCTAAAAAAATTCATTCCTATCCACTTGTTCACTTTACCATAAATTATGTCATATAAACATTGCTGTAATATTCAAGGGTATCAAACAACTAGTTCACTTTAAAAATACAGAGATTCTTGTATTGCCTTTTACTGCAAAAACTTTTTTTATTGGCAAGCAATAAAAAAGTCGAGCGCGCTGTCTTACGGACAGCTCTTGTTTGTATAACCCAATTTAAAATAAAAGACGGCCATGGTGGCCCTATGCAAAATGCCCAAGACCTTGTTGCCAAACATCTAATCAATATAATTTCAACAATATTGGAAGAAAATTGTCCAAGAAGACATATGCCAGACAGAATAAGATTCAATCGAGCTATAACCAAAATGTCAAACCTTCCATGTATTGAAGAAGGCCAGGAAGACATCTATAAAAAAGATGGTGCCTTTTAAGTGCATTAATCACTTCAGTCTTATTTTGCACAGTTATACGTCGCTGAAATGATATGGCGTCAAGAAGATCAGAAAACTGCAAGTTGACTGCATCCTCATCTCCCTCAGAAATGTTTCCTATCTGAAAAAAAAAGGAAATCATTGGTCAAAATAAAATTAAAGAAACAAGATATGTTTGTAAAACATGTATTCCCCCTAACAGCAACCAATTTGTAACGTGAAAAGGTCAATGTGACTCTGACCTGACCTTGTAATCCCCCAAAAATAGGGATCATCTAATGGTCATGACAAATCTCAATATTAGGTTGATTGATTGATTGATTGATTGATTGATGTGTCAAACATCAAAGCTCTATGCCTTGAACCTTCAGACAAAAATTTGAACAACTTTGGTAGAGTACCTTTAGATGATATTATTTAACAAATATTAAAGCTCTAAGCCTTGTACCTTCAGACAATAAGATATTTTTATTTTTTACTATATGTCTATATTGTAATCAATGACCCCCTGGGCGGGGGCAATTTTGACCCCAGAGCTATAATTTGAACAATCTTGCTAGAGTTTTACAACACAATGTTTCATGCAAAATATCTAACTTCTAGCATTTGTCAATTGCTAGAAGAATTTTTTTAAAGTCTTTACTATATATACAAATAAAGAAAACCAATGACCCCTTGGGGCGGGCCGATTTTTCCGATTTTGACTCCAGGGCTATAATTTGAACAATCTGGGTAGAGGTCTACCAGACAATGCCTTATGCAAAATATCTAAGCTCTAGGCCTTTTGGGTCTATACAAGAAGGTGTTTTAAGTTTTTACTATATGTACATATAGCAAAAATCAATGATTTTGACCTAAGGGCCATAATTTGAACAATCTTGGTAAGGGTCTACCAGATGATGCCTTATGCAAAACATCTAAGCTCTACGCCTTTTGGGTTTTTACAAGAAGGTATTTTAAGTTTTTACTATATGTACATAGTGAAAATCAATGACCCCCGGGGCGGGGCCAATTTTGACCCCAGGTCTTTAATTTGAACAATCTTGTTAGAGGTCAACCAGACATTGCCTTATGCAAAATATCTAAGCTCTAGGCCTTTTGGGTCTTTACAAGAAGATTTTTTAAATTTATTCTTATAATTCCTTTTGGTTTCCATGGCAACCAGATTTCTGCATGGAATGAAATTCTTTGAACAACTTTGGAAGCCCTTCACCCAAGGAACAATCCTGCCAAGTTTGGTTGAAATTGGACTAGTGGTTTTTCACAAGAAGATTTTTAAAGTTCACTATATAATCTATATAACACACACACAAACACACACACACACAAACACACAGGTGAATCACTATATGCCACCGCATCGCAGATGCTGCGGTGGCATAAAAAAATATTCAAGGCTTGACTTTATGATTGTCAGACTAATAATAGTTCATAACTATGTGGCAATAACCGGAAGAAATGTTTTAAAGCTCAGAAACGTGATCATCAGTCACCTGTTGTATGGCATGCTTTACATCAGCCTTGATCAGTTCCTCAGGAAGTGATATTATGTTTGGAGTCTTCTCACAGATGATGTAATCTACAAGATGGGGAGTGAAGCATCTTGGCCCAGGATGTCCAGTTAGAAGTGCCATACCAGTCATTTTTCCCATTTTGAGGTACACATCTTTGCTAAGAAGATCAGCTGAAACATGAATCATGTCACTGTCAAAAATTGGTGTGTGCTTGAAAAGCAAAGTAAAAAACTCTCGAGTGAGTCCACCCTCATCTATACCTTCCTCCCCAATAAAACGAACTTTCACTTTTTTTACCCAGTCGTCTTTTGTTGCATCTTCGATTTGCTCCATTGCTGTCAGCAGGAAGTGCCTCCTTACAATGGACAGCTCCCATTGTTCTGAAAAGGCTTCATACACATTGTGTAGAGCTTCCTCGTACGATCTGAAATCATAAATTAAGAGATAAAAATAAACAAATAGAAATGTGTCCACAGGACACGGGTTCCCCCACCGCGCCACTGTTCTGTCAATCTTATGACTCTAGGTCAAATGTTTTTTTGAAAACTAAAGATCTTTTACTAAGTAAATGGCAAGAACTTTACAAATACTGAATAAATCCACAAGCAAACCCCAAGTACACTTGCTGACCAACATTCTTGTAAACTTTCAGGCCTACAAGTGAAATACTTTTTGAGCTGTGCATGAACAAGTTGAAAATTGCAAATTTATACTACTGTAAGTCAAAGGCAATAACTCTAACAAAACTGAAAAAAATCCACATGCAAAGTCTCAGTTGCGTAGCTTCACAGTGATGTGAATCATTATTCTTGTAAAGTTCATTGATTCTAACTCAAGGAACAACAACATTATGAAATGTTATAACTAAGTCAAGGGAAATAACTCTACAAATATTGGATAAATCCACAAGCTAAACCCCACGTGCAAAACTAAATATGCTGAGCAACCTTCCCGTAAGGTTTCATGACTCTAAGTCATATACTTTTTTGTGTTATGTGCGACACAAGTTGAAAATTGCAAAATTTTACTAAGTCAAGGGCAATAACTCTGAAAATACTAAAACTATCCAGATGAAAATACACAGGTCCACAACTACACATGCAGATCAACATTCCTGTAAAGTTTCATGACTCTAGGTCAAATACTTTTTGAGTTAAATGTGACACAAGTTGAAAATTGCAAGTTTTTACCAAGTCAAGGGCAATTACTCTAAAATTACTAGAAATATCCAGACGAAAATACCCAGGTGCACAACTACACATGCTGATCAACATTCCTGCAAAGTTTCATGACTAGGTCAAATATTTTTGAGTTACATGCGACACAAAAGAGAATGGACAGACGGACAGACAAGGGTAAATCTAAATGCCCGCCACTAAAGTGGGGGCACAAAAAACAATACATAACATAGCCATCAAGATTTCAAGTTTAGGCTTATTGGCCCTTTAATTATGGGTTCCCCTTCTATTAATGGGTGTAGGTGACAGCTGTGATGGTTGAACATCAACAAAAGCTTAAATATCATATCAATGATGAACATTCTATGCATACTATGTAAGTACAATATAAAGTAACATATTACTTGTTCTCAACAGATGGAACCACTCCTGGATCACTTTCTTGCTTTGAACAGCATGTATCCGCATGTTCTTGAATCTGACATACTGGTAAGTCAATGTAGCAAACTGGACAGGTCTCAAAAGCTGGTGGATCTCTACAATTGTTCAATACACATATTCAGTTTTTACCTTTCATAAATAAAGATTTCTAAACATAACGGATCCATAAAACAAGAAGGCTTTAAGCATCCATGCACATATAAATTCTAACTGGAATTATTGTTGCACAGCCCAGATGAGGAATACTTGTGTAAACTATCATCTAATAAATGCATCCATTACTTAGGTATAAGCATTATACAACCACAAAAGAAACACAAATGGCTAATTAATACACATAGTTCACAATGAAAACTCAACATATTGTCACTAACTATATAATCATATTTATCACTCAAAATGTCATATGAGAATAAATTTACTAAATGCGCATCAAATCTGTGGTATGTTTCTGTTGTTGTTTTTTCACCAGAGGGGTTCTTTTTGTGCTTAAGTTTAGTACCTTGCATGCAAAACCTAAACTTGAGTGACGCCCACAGCCAGGTTGCGTAAATATTCTTTGAATACTCAAGCTAAAAACAATACCATTTTAATGGACATGAAGTAATTTGTGCAATTTCTTAATTGCTTTAGGGTAGATTAATGCTAATTTCCATGAGTATGATAAGTTATAATTTTCAGATCTTTAAATATTTTATTTCATTAAAGGCAAGCTCAGTTTACTCCTCAGATAACTAGCATTGAAAACTGTTAAAAAATTTCAAATACAACATGTACATGTCTCTGTGAATAGCTTTATATGAATGGTAAAAGTAACAATCAAAAAACAGGGATATATTGGTAAAAATAACAAACAGAAAAATAAACACTAACAAAGATATCATAAACAAGAGGGCCATGATGGCCCTGAGGTTGCTCACCTGTATATAGGCCCTCGGAGCGAGGCCAGTTTAAACCCAAGGGCTTTTATTTGAACAAACTTGGAAGACACCCATTAGAAGATGTTTCATGATGTTAAGTTTTTACTATACATATATAATGAAAATCAAAGACCTCCCCCCACCTGGCAGGGCTAATTTTAACCCAAGGGCTTTTATTTGAACAAACTTGGTAGACACCTATAAGAAGATGTTTCATGCTTAACATCTAAGCTCTAGCTCATTGGGTTTTTTAAAAGAAGATTTTTTAATTTTTTACTATACACATATAGTTCAAAACAATGACACCCCTGGGGCGGGGCCAGTTTTGACCCCAGGGCTTTTATTTGAACAAACTTTGTAGACACTTAGTAGAAGATGTTTCATGCTTAATATCTAAACTCTAGCTATTTGGGTTTTTTCAAAGAAGATTTTTAAGTTTTTGCAAACACATATAAGGAAAATCAATGACCCCCGGGGCAGGGCCAATTTTGACCCTAGGGCTTTTATTTGAACAAACTTTGTTGACACTCACTAGAAGATGTTTCATGCTTAATATCTAAACTGTAGCTATTTTCGTTTCTTCAAAGAAGATTTTTTAAGTTTTTGCTATACACATATAAGGAAAATCAATGACCCCCGGGGCGGGGCCAATATTGACCCCAGGGCTTTTATTGAACAAACTTTGTAGACACCCATTAGAACATGTTTCATGCTAAATACCTTAGCTCTAGCTCTTTGAGTTCTTTAAAAGAAGATTTTTTAAAGTTTATACTATATGCATACAGGGAAAATCAATGACCCCCTGGGGCGGGGCCAATTTTGACCCCAGGGCTTTTATTTGAACAAACTTGGTAGACACTCATGAGAAGATGTTTCATGCTAAATATCTTAGGTCTAGCTCTTTGGGTTCTTTAAAAGAAGATTTTTTAAGTTTTTACTATATGCATATAGGGAAAATCAATGACCCCCTGGGGCGGGGCCAATATTGACCCCAGGGCTTTTATTTGAACAAACTTGGTCGACACTCATGAGAAGATGTTTCATGCTAAATATCTTTGCTCTAGCTCTTTGGGTTCTTTAAAAAAAGATTTTTTAAGTTTTTACTATATGCATATAGGGAAAATCAATGATCCCCTGGGGCGGGGCCAATTTTGACCCCAGGGCTTTTATTTGAACAAACTTGGTAGACACTCACTAGAAGATGTTATATGCCAAATATCTAAGCTCTAGCTCTTTGGGTTTTTTAAAAGAAGATATTTAAAGTTTTTTCTTTCGGTTGCCATGGCACGGACGCCGGCCAGACGCCGGACGAAAAAGCGATCACAAAAGCTCACCCTGTCACTTTGTGACAGGTGAGCTAAAAATGAAAGCATAGACAGTTGTGCAACAACTCCAATGATTTCATAAGCATTTTGAAAATTAAAAGCAAACAATAAAATACAGAATAAACACACCAACATGTATTTATGCAAACATACAAATTATTGCTATTCCAAATATAACTCAATTTAGTATCTATTGTTTGATTATAAAAGTAAAAGGTTTAAGCCCTCCCATCAGCAAACACAATGTGAGGCTTGAACAAAACAATTTCACCTAAGTCATTTATTCATTTGGAAACAATGCCACTTGCTTAGAAAGAGTGATTAATATAAATGTTTGACCTTGCTGAAAGTGGCCTATAGCCAATCAACAAACTTCATTTATTCACCATTATCTCATTTTTTAGTACAGAAAAAGAAAAATATTGTTTGCTTCAAAATATTATCCTTTTTTTGATAAATTGTAAACATTGAACAAAACTTTCATCAAATTAAAATAACAATATAATTACTGAGACACTGGACAGTCAGCACTTTTGCTAGCATTCTGAAAAGAAATGTTTTGTGCAAAATCTTTAATATTAAGAAATTTGTAAGCAGAGATGCATTTTAATAATTCACTGTTACAATGTTTCTGGGGAGTTTCTGGTCAAAATTACAGTTCAAAATTTCATATTTACCTGGCATATTACGTGTTATATTACGTGTTTATATATATATATTGTTATACACTTTCACATGCATAAATGTTTTCCTCAACACATCTGTATCCATTCTCATAGTATAACACTTATTACATCCATAGTTAGTAAGTCAGCACAATGTTCAGCCTTTTTTAACATTCTATAGGTTCTTGTAAAGAATACTTACACAAGCATATTGACACACTGGAGTCTGAATAAGCTCTTTTCTTGTTGGTGGCAGTGTGCAGGATTGTAGATCTAAATCTTTGTCCTGAAATTATAACAATGATAATATTAATTGATCCACATTTATGTAATATATAATCATAAACAGCAAGATAGTGTATAGGTTAAAGGATCTTGTACATGCCCTAAATGGTAAGATTTGATGTCAATCATTTACTGAAGGTGTTTACTTCAAACATGAAATGATTGTTCTTTATCATCAACCACATCTTATGTGACACAGTTCGTAACTTAAGCACCCATATTTAAAGAATTATCCCCAGTAAAAATGTTGTTTTTTGGGTTCTTTTCACTCCATTACTTACGGGTTGACATCAAAACTTCAATTGATTTTTCTCTTTCATCATAACTCTCAACTCAAATGACAGTGATCATAACACTGGCACCCATATTCTATGAATTATACCCCAATGAACTTACTATTTTAAAGAATATATGCTATATTTTACCCAATCTTTAAAATACTTTGGAAAATCTACTCTCTTCTCGCCTCATCGTTTAATCATCTACCATTTCTTCAACTCTACTCTCTCTCACAAGTGTCATAGTAGACTCTTTAACTCTCTGTTCTGCGTTCTTCTCGTCATTTCTTCTTTTCATTTATATCTATACCAACATCAATACCACTAGTATAGCACATTATAGCTGTCAAGACAATCTGCTTGAGATCTTCGCTCTTCGCATACTCGAGAGCTTTAATTTGGATTTGTCAGTTTTCTCAATAAATATGAAGTGTTTCATCTGAGTGTATCCAGACAAATAAACTATAAATATGGCTTTGCAATAACACTAAATGTCGTCAATGTCCTAAATGGAATAACACCTCATCCTCTATATGAAGAGAATGCTCAACAAATATCAATATTTTAATCAATCAATAACTCAAGGACTTGATTAAATCAATTGTGAACACTCCAGATTTTAACTGGCTTTCTTTGTCCTATAAATTGTGACTCGTTCTTTGATTAGTGGGTTTACTGAGTAAGTTCATTCTCTCTAGCTCCTTATGAAAGCTCTTTCACAGCAAGTCAGTCGTACCGTATTACGCTACCTGTTACAGATACGTCTTGTGCGTTATGAAGGAATATCTCTCTCATGAGAATATGCGCTCGCGCACACCTTAAAATTGTGCACATCTCCTACACTGGTTTTCTGGAATCTAACATACTTCAATCTCGACCTAAAGGTATATGGTACAACATGTATGTCTACTCACACAATATATGGAAGAAATGATTAGCACACTAAGACTTGACATATGAAAAATAGCGTGCAATATACTAATCCTCTGTAGACACTTAAGGCCTCTCACTTATGGTGCGCTATTCACAATAACCCTAATAAAAACCTTCAAACATTATGTAATAAGTCCTCTCCCACCACACTGATAAGTTTTTTTATGATCTAAGCTCAGTAGTATGCATTTCTCTCTGGTGCAATATTAGTGAGGAAACGATACTGTGCTCCCTTTAAGGCGTTGTGAGAGAATTTGCTTGGATTGAATAATCTATCTTAAATTAACCTATGTGTAGGTGTGGACAATGTTAGAGGTTACCTATACCATTGTTTTATCTTAAGGGCCAGGAGGCATAATTCGACTTAATATAATTATTGTTATAATAACAGTGAATAGCTAGTGTCACTAGATTACTCATGGTTAACATGCTTAATACAATTCAAATTTGTCTAGAATAAATACTATGTTTGAGCTCTATATTTAGAAAGTGAGTTATATATTAAAGACAAATTCTAAATCAACTCAACACTTAGCAGATGCGTCTTCTCTCGGACACTGAGTGACGTGATTTCTCACAACTTTAGAATTCCTGTGTGTCTTACAAATAGATCATTAGCTACGTAGAAGATAACAGAACATGTTTCTAGTGGAATAGTAGCCATATCTGCTCTAGAACAGAAACTATGAGGATATCATTTTTATTCATTATATATTGTGATTCGGTTTGGGCGTAGATAAATATACTCGTGTTGGCTCTCTCAGATACAGGTACTCCTCAGAGGTTTACGAAGAGTTTAGTGAGAATATAACACATATTAAAATATTTTACAATACTCTAGAGACAAGAATTGGTAAGCCTCTCAAATACCGGACCGGAAAATATTGAGCCAAACACCATAAAAAAGGAACTCAATCGACCATTGTGTCAGTGTTCAATATTTCTAAAACTATTTAGTATTCTGATCAAGGATAATACAAGTTTATTACTATTATCTCGTATAGTTATACCTAACTAGTTATAACACGTGTATATTCACAGCTTTTAAACTATACTATGTATGAGTTATATAGAGCCATTTCCAAATTTCTCTTTTGCTTAATTCGTTATCTCCTACAATGCCTTAAATACAGGAGGAATTAGTTATTAAGTTACGCGATACTTTTTCTTCTTCTCTGTGTATCTTGTTCTCCTCTCTCTAACACCTTCAAGTATTGCTCTCTACTTTATCTCTAAAGAAGAAATACGTCTCCTCAACATACTATTTCAAGATCGTTTTCCTTTAATATTAACTATATGACAGAGATATCTCACAACCATGTTTTGTTTTGTTCACGCCCCTTTCAGCTATACTCAACCCTGACTGCTACAATAAGACAAATATATGAGTGGTTCTCCAAAAGGATTGATAGTCTGTATGATTCGATCGTACAAGATTGGTGTTTTCTTTGAGATCGCGCAGCAATTTTATCTAAATTGGCCTCTCAAATATACATATTTGCAATCAGGTCAGTTCTATACTGTTAATGGTCTTAACAAGAATTTACTAAACCTGTTCTTATTAATCTCTTTATAAGACATTATCACTCACTTTAGAACACTCAGATTAAAAAAAAACCTTTTTTGATCCACTATTATAAGATAGGATTAATAAATATGTTAGACCTCTCTGGGTTAGAAAAAACTCTCTGTAATAAGATTGAAAAGTATAGCTAAGCCGAGTTATGACACAAATTAGTAAATCCGCACTATAATCACATCACATATGGTGCGGCTCTCGGCAGTAATTTAGTACAGTTTACTTAACACTTGGAATTACTAACCATTCCTAAAGTCGGTGATTAAATAGATAATATACCTGTGACGAGTGCTCTGTCATGTTACGTGACCAGATTTATAAATCTCTGCGTGTATTCTCCTCGGCTAGCATCAATTACACCTCTCTCAACGCCTATGTTTCAGACCCCACGCCGCTTCGCACGTTAAGTGCCTAGTGGTTGGCCTCAAATAGACATGTATATATCTTTAGACATAGAATAAATGCTACTTATATAGCGCTCCCTAAGAGGGTGAATAGAACTCCCTCCTAGTATAGACGGGTAGTTCTTTGAACTGGGGTCTGGTAGAAAAGTTCTGTACAACATTAGTTCTGGTATCAACGCTGAAAAACAATTTGACTCTATCTCAATCCATTGAGAAGTTGCAGCACTTTGAAATTCAATTTTTGGTGGAAAAAATCAACGCAAAATAGTGATTTTTGGCGATTTTGAGATGTCCCCTCGTTGCCATCGGTAACAGAAAAATTAAGCCTGAGCATGTTGTTGCAAGGGCAATGGTCCAATCACACATTTGTGCCAAGTTTGATTAGTGTTGAAGCAGTTTTTATAGTATTATAGCAATTTGAACTTGTAACGGGAGACTTTTCAATGAAAACAGCCATTTTTCACAAAATGCTGATGAAGTAATGAGTTAAGTAAGGTATTTACAACGCAATCTTTAAATCAGTCTCTGTAAGAGGATGAAACCTCATTATGATTATGTTAATTTAAACTTACTGAGAATTCTTGATCCACAAGTGAAAGATCATTCTGGATCGGCCTTATGTAACACACTGCCTGTCCAAGGTTACTGAAATTTGACAGAAAGTTAACAGTATAGCCACCTGGTGGCACAATGATCACTTCTAAGTCGCATCTACTTCTGGCCTGTGTTCTAAGTAGTTCAAAACCACCAATGCCATCCAATTTGGGATAATGCTCCTCAATGCGACATTTAAAGTAGCCTGCATCATCATTTTTTTCAAAAGATATCTTCTTTTCCCCCAAATTTGCCTTGTACAGTCTATCTTTTTGTTCTCTGGTAGGAGCCATAGTCTAAAAAATCAGAAAAGGGTAATCTATCAACTTCAATCCTAAGGCTTCTATCACTACATTATAATTTATTGATTTTTACTGTAAATTATATCATATAAAAATTTAAGTGAATGCATGGGTAAACTTAAATTCATTTACTCAAAACAACCAACCAAATCTAATTATCTCAACATTGATACATATACCTGATTTTATTAACTTATATCATAGTCATGCGAATGATGAGTTGTGTTTTTATGGCTCCAGTGCATAGTTTTCAAACGTTTTTATTAAGTTAAAATACCCTTCCAAACTACTCAAAATATTAAAATTTCTTAACATTTGAAACTTTACCATTAGTCTATTATTCAAGTTTGTTTTTGGACGTTGAAAGCACTTTTTTAGACTATAGTTGGAACTCGTTTTATCCACTCCTACTCATAATTCCCCGATTTCAATGAAAAAAGTGTGTTTCTGTCCAATTATGCAGTTTTTCTTTTTACAATTTGAAAATGATGCTCACATATGCACCCGAGCTTTAAGGTTATGTAGAGCCAAAAATGTCAGACTTGATAAATGTTAAATATTATTCAATCATGGACCGACAGAATCAGCCAGTCATTTTCATGTGAGCAATCCGTTGCCCTCATGGGCTTTCTTGTTGATACAAACAACAAATTTACTAATTTAATGTAAAAAAATGAAATTTACGTCAGTTGTTCTTCCAAGGACACAGAATCTGTGGGTCCAGAATGCACGTGACGGTGTACGAGCTGGAGCACCACTTGAACGCCTTCTCGAACTGTGGGTTGGATATGGAGAAAAAATGTCCCTTACTGCTGCCAATGTCCTTGTCCTTGATTGGCTTGAAGCATCATCACTGGTTGATGTATGAGTTGACTCCAGGGCAGCAGCTGCCTGTCTTAAAAGCTCTAAAGCTCTTTGTTGACTCATCTGTTTAAAATATTTATTTAAGAAATAGATCATAACTGTGTGTGTTCAACTTCTATAGTTTCACAAGCATGATTTTGAATTCATGCACATTTATCTGAATGCACATGTCACAGATCTGAGTCATAAATTAAAATGCATAATAACAAAAATTGTGATAAATTAAACAGTAAAGCATGCACAATTAGGATGTATTCCTTGTGATAAAGGGGAGCAATATCTTAATGTTATTTTATTGCATAGTTACACAAGTTACTTAATTAACTTTTTGCTGCTGATATAGCAACAGTTGGAAACTGGTCAACTTGTACCTCAGTCAACTCGTACCTTAGTCTTTTAGTACCAGTACCTAAGTCAACTCGTACCTTAGTCTTTTAGTACCAGTACCCAAGTCAACTCGTACCATAGTATTTTTTTTTCATATTTTTTCTGAGATTCTTATCAATATCAGTATATAAGCTGCCATGTGCCAACACAATCAAACAAATTAAATCAGCCTTTGATAAAGATATATATTTCAATTTTTCACACTAGAACTAATTGCGTTTTCTAAGTATCAGTAATCACGTTACCCAAGTATCAGTCATTAAAGGCTCCTAATTCTAATACAATATCAAGGTTTTTTCTCAGCTAAATTCATGACCGATTTGGGTAAAGTTCCCAAATGAAAATAGTACCTTTTTTTTACAATTCACAGCCAAAAATTCCCAACTGAAACATCAATAAATAAAATTTAAAAATATTGTATAAACATGTATCTTGATGCTTTACTGTGATAAACCTGCAATGATTAAATGTCCTTATCATAGACAGTTATTCTATGATTTCTATGGTGTGAGTTGACTTAAGTACGAGTTGACCAGAAAGTCAACAGTTGCTGTTTGATATGTTAAGATTATTGATTTGAAAGTGACAGACCTTTCCGCAATATTAAAGATTGTAATACCAAACCATCATATAGCTGCTTGATTTTTAAATATATGCTTTTTTTGTAAATTATGAAACTGATGTATATATAGCTAAAGCGAAACCGAAAGTAGCTGCAAATTTTCTGTCAATTGCCAGGTTCATCTACTTTGTTGAAAATAATTTACTATCGTTTGAACATTGGATACATCGGTAATAAATTGTGAGTAATGCTATGCGTCTAGCTCCCTTACACTTTTCCCCACATATAAGGCTATTAGTGAAAGTTATTTAAAATAACTTGAAATCTGTAATGCGTTCCGAAAGCTGTACAGTACAGTACGTATAGATGGATACCGAAAATAAGCTATTTTCGCGAAAAATAAGATCGCAGCAACGAAAATAAGATTTATGCTTAACCGTATAATGTCTTTAAAACACTGGACACAATCAGCTGATCGAATTTTTGGAAAAATGTTTATTTTAATTGATTGACAATGACGATATACACACCTTCGTGTTGATCCAGATCTTTTTGAAGAGGAAGTTTTCACATCCACACCGCAAGGGAGAAGTTGTTTAAAAAAGACGCCCTCTGTCTGCAGAATACGTTCAGTTGAAGTTGGTTCCCAGCTTCGTATTATGACAACGTCATATTTTTAATGAATTTGATGTTGTTAGCTTTTCAACGGACGAATGATGCTTTGGTCGTTTTTATTAAATGTTCAGTAGTTTGTTTCAAATATTTAAACAAAACCTTTAGATTAATACCGAATAAACAGTTGAACATTCTACGCTTTTCATTGTGGAGTGTAAAGTATATTTAAAAGAATGAAGTAGGGGAGACCGGGGCAAGATGATCCACTTTTTAACTTTTTACCTTCTCTCTCTTTATCTATTGGGGAGTTTTTTTTCTTTGTTGCATAATAATATACATCCGTATATTGGCTTTTGTTTTAAGTAAGCACATTTCGAAATAACTTATTTACATACGAGAAATAATCAATTTAATAAGGCCGGTCGAGTGTATCATCTTGCCCCGTGCTCGGGGCAAGATGATACAAGCATACGGGGCAAAATGATACAGTGAGATTAATAGCTTTCAAAATTAGTATTTCAGTAATATAAAATAATATTGCCTGCTACATATTAGATATATCTATTAGTATTTTGCACAATTCCTATACAATTTGATAGCTCAAATGAATTTTTCAAAACTTAAAACATTAACAACAGTCACACAAATCAAATAATCTCCGTTCATAAAATGAAAAGTTTCAAGCTCATTTTTGCTTGTCAATTTGTCTTGAATACGTCAGAATGACGGTTACACACTATGCTACGTGTTTAAATATACATGTCATCATCGGATTCGCAATTCTGGCAAATGTATGTCTGCGTTTTATTCAGTCCTGTGCATTCCTGATGAGCCCATTCTCTACAGCCGAAACATCGGATCCATTTTTCGCGTGGCAGACTATTAGAATAAGGCTCTGAGCAAACTAAACAGAACCATCCTCCTCTTTCAGAGGTATCATTTTTACTCTTCCTTTTGATTCCTTTTTTCTTTGGAAAGGCTCTTTTTTTTTTAGGAAGGCTCTTCTTTTTCTGACTTCTTACAAGTATTTCCTCTTCAATTCTTTCTTTTCAGGAGTGTCTGTAAAGAATAGCTTTGATTTCTTTTTAGAGCGACCTTTTGAAGATTTACGCGGTGGTGCTTTGGGGTGTGGTCGAATAGTTTCAGGTGTAAATAAAGGCACGGCAGTAAATGTTTCTGTAGATTCTGCCGTTCCGTCGTCAAATGAGTCTGGAGGGCATTGTAATGCGCATTTAACACCGTCTCCCCTTCAAAGCTAAATGGATATCGCCGTTAAACACGACATCTGGTCTTTCCAGGACCCATTCCATGAAATGTTCATACCATCGTCCCCGAATCTGTACCACAATGGCCGACACACCAAGCAGGTTTGCAAAGAGCCGACAAAACCATATCAACAGTATTTGTGTTGTATTTTTTGTCACTTATACATAGCTCAAAATGTCTGAAATGGCGTCCTGGTCGTCGGTCGTGAAGTCGTCATAATAGTCAATGTGGTTTTTTACTTCATTGACAAGTCCTTCGCACAGTTTCCTCATGTGTTGCTTGACCTACCCTTCAAAGGCAATGCACTTTTCAACGGCGTGCAATAGACAATGTCCATCACCCGCAACAGGGAAAAACTTTCTCTGCCATTTCCATTCATAAAACGATTTATTTCGTCCCAGGATTGCCACCGATTCGTATTATACGGAAGTGTATTATGGAGAGTTCCTTCTGTGCACACGGCATGAGTAGGCGAGACAGTAGGCGCATTCAGTGTTCGTCTAGCAAATGTCTATCTGTAACACTACAAGGAGCATATTCCGGTCCTCTCCAAATACATTGACATTCAAAAAGGATAGACAGACCAGACACCTGAAAGCCACTCATGATATTGGTTGGCTTTGCAGCTAAAGGCCATGCTGTTTTGACCTGTCCAGGAATAATCGTTAAAATAGTCATAGTGCTTCCTGGGTGATTGCGCATCCACGCATCTTGAAGTTCCATTGACGTAACCTCTTGAAGGGCCCGAACACCGATCTGTCAAGGTGGTTGCAATTTATGGCTGCAAATGTGGAGGGAACGATAACATTACAATACCGTTTTGACTTTGCGAAAGTTTAAGTGTCTCAATGCTGATATGAGAATCGTGGTTATCTAATAACAATAACACTTTTTTCTCAAGGGAAGGTTTTGCGTGCGATGCAAAAATGTTTGATATAGGTCGTGAAATTCTCCCCGTCATCCATCCGCTATGGATGAGCAGCTCCCTATAGATAAACCGACCGGGCCGTCTCGAACAAAGTGATCGTGATAGTTCTTCCTTGGAAATATAAAAATAGGCGGAACTGAGTTTCCCGTTGCGCTCACAGAAGCACACATAGTAACATGTGCCCCTCTCTCGGCTGAAGTTAACGTACCAATTTTTTTGACTCCTTTTCGGGTGAATACGATATTCCGTGGCTTCTGGACAGTAGTAATTCCAGTCTCAATCGACATTCCAAATGTCGCAAGGTTGTATCGATTCCCTGTCAATCACCTCAGCCCAACTTTTTAAAGAAGGATGCCTACATTTTCCTTGTTTGAAACTGGTAGCCCCTTGACAAACTCGTGGCCTCGGGAGTTCTAATGGATAAGGAAGGATGGCGTTTCATAAAATTAGAAAAACCAGTCGGCAACCGGCTTGTTTGTTTAACATGCCATGGCTCTGGCATCTCTATCTTAAATTTTACAGCGCATTCGTAAAGCGAATACTCTGCATCTTTTGGTGAAAGTCCAAAGTAAATATTAGCTGCGTCGATGAGATATTCTTCTAGAGAATCTTCTCTTGTTCAGGTGTAAATACCTGTCGAAAAAACGACCAAGTGAAGGGAGATCATCAGCGGACTGCTCAGCATTGGATGTTCTCTTGATATGACGGGCCTAATGTCGAATTTGACTCATGCCTGAAAATTAAACATTAATTATTTCTACAATGAATTGACAAAAAATCTCTTATGCTATTTTTTAACTTTACTTAGTCCTAATTGAAAGATATTAATTCCTAATTGGTATACTACCACTGAAAATGAAAAATTATCATATAATTTTAAAACAGTAATTATACTAGTGTTCCACTGTGTGTTTGTGTTTATGTGCGTATGCGTGTGTGTGTGTGTGTGCGTGTGTGCGTGTGTGTGTGTCAATTATCCAACTTATCATCTGACAATGAAGTATACTCTTGATTATATGCATATCTGGAAACACTTTTTCTCATGGAAGAGAAACAAATATGACATTTTTTAAAACAATGCATAACTGTAGGTTATTGTCCGCAACAAAAATCGACGGGCGCATCTATATGTCCGCAAGCGGTATCAAATTCTAATTAATAAAAGACGCTTGTAGCCAAATACTTTATTTAACGATATTACTGTTACAGGTAACGAATTATTGTAAAAAATACACACCCATATTTCTCAGCGGCCAGTCGTATAGACATTCCATCTGACGACACACACATCTGATGGCCTTTAGTATCACATCACCTGGAGTACAACCTCGATTGGTTTTTCTGACGTAATTACGAACCATTCTGAAACAATATGATGGCATTTCATTACTTTTATGATATTTTAAAGACAAAAGCAAGCATATAGATATATTTTTTATAGTAACGGGTACGTTGAATCACGATGACATAAATCCTGAAATTTATTTTAATGTATGGGGCAAGATGATACACTGTTTCTTTTTGCCCCGGCCGTACTGTATCATCTTGCCCCAACAGCACCATTCACATTCAATGAGCATTATGTAAAAAAAAATCATCAAAATTCAGAAACATTTGTTGAAGTTTACAAAAGCAGGATTTATATACTATCATACCAATACATACAAACAAAAATATCGTAATTATTTTTTTTTGTTTTAAACAAAAGTTAAAAAATATCAAAATTTTTCTTACGTAGCTCCAAAATCGATTTTTCTTTCACGATTTATTATCAGTAAAGTTCACGATATCGTTTGTCCGATAAATATGGCCGAACTACGGACGCCTTGTCGGAGAAAATTGATGA